CTTCCTCTTCGTCGGCGTGTTCTTCCTGGGCAGCCGGCCCGACAACTACTGGTGCCGCGGGCCGAGCGCCGCCGCGCTGGCCGAGCGCTGCGGCTGGAGCCCCGAGGAGGAGTGGAACCGCACGGCGCCCCCCCACCTCGGCCCCGCGCCCTCCGAGCGCCGCGGCGACGGCCGCTGCCAGCGCTACCTCCTGGAGGCGGCCAACGCCAGCGCCGCCGCCCCGGGCGCACTCAGCTGCGCCGACCCGCTCGCCGCCTTTCCCAACCGCTCGGCGCCGCTCGTGCCGTGCCGGGGGGGCTGGCGGTACGCCCAGGCCCACTCGACCATCGTCAGCGAGGTAAGGGCCCGGGTCCGCGCCGGGCGCGCCCGCCCCGCCGCCGAAAGCCGGCCGGGAGCGGACGGCGCGCGGAGCCTCCGCAGACGCCGGGAGTCGGTGAAGCCGGCCGCCGGGAAGGTCCGCGGAGGCAGGGAGCTGTCGGTTACCTCTGGGGACCGACCGGGTTCATCCCGCGCTTGGAAGCGTGGTGCTGCGTCGTAACTGCCCTGGCAGTGCCTTTGCTTTATCTCTGTCTGCTAGTGAGGCAACGGAGTGGTGCTTCGGTTTAGGTATGAACGAAAACCGCCCTGGAAGCCAAGTGCTAAGATGCTTCGCACACATCTCCTCAGGGATCGAAGCATCCTGTACGATGCTCGTTGACTGTGAGATGTGTGTGCGCAGCAGTTGGAAATGACGGATGGAAGCGGGTAGAGAACCGCAGTGTCTGGGGCGAGCGCCGCTGAGCACGTCCGCGCCAGCTCGTGGTCCCCAGGGGGCGAAGGAAAGGAGAAACCAGCGTTTGAAGGCAGGGCCAACTGTCTCTAGTTGCCCAAATGATTATCAGAAATTCAAAAGTACAAAGGTCGAGGCTTTCCCGGGAGCATGATTTTGGCAAAACTGCTTTGGGGCAAAGAGCAACATTTGAGAGAAGTTGGGAAAGCTGAGGTTTTGAATTAAAAAAAAAAAATTTTTTTTTCCTGCTAATAAGTGACAGGAACGCAGCAGAAGAGGCTGTAAGGCATACATAGTGGACACCCCACTTATTGTGGGGGTAGCTGCTGCGGTCGGGTGGGGACAGTCCCCACGGTCTTTTGGCTACGTTTGAGGTGTCAGTGCCTTGGGGGTTAGGTGCCCTCACCTTTGGCAGCAGAATTGTTTCTGCGCTGCGCTAGGCTGGCAGTTTGCATCTTCATCTTGGTGAGTTCTGACTTTAGGGACTGCCTCCACTGAGCTTGCAGTGAAGGGATGAGTAGTTTTATTGAACTTCGCTGCAAGCATGGATCAATTTAATTTCTAACAAGTGATTGAGTGTGCTCAGGCAAATTGGGAAAGAAAAAATGTTTGTCTTTAATTTATTGTCATAAAGAATTTTTAAGCACCTACTTGAATAATGGGGGAAACACTGGCTTCAGAGTTCGCAGTGCCTCTTCTGCCTGTTAATGGTGTTCTTTGGTCTGGTGGTGACCTAGTCTCTCTGAAGCTGGGATTGTAGGTCTTTGAGGTTATGCATGTTCTGTGTGTTAGCACACTGTGTGTGGTCCTCTGCTAAGTGCTTTAGAGATCAAACCCCATGGCAGCCCAGAAAGGCCATGTGTATGTGTGTTTGGGGTACTTTAATTTCTACCTAATTCGTGGGTCATGATCGGTACTGCTTTATAAACTGTGGTGGTCTTGTTATTAGGGGTTTCACTCTTGAAATGGATAAGGTGTGGGCTTGGGTGGGAGAGGGTGTTATCACTGGGACTTCCTTTGAGTTGTATCCATTAGGTGGCTGCTTAGTGCTGCTTTCCAGGCAAACCAGAAGACGCTGCTCGGAGAGTAGATGCCTGATTTTTGAAGACATATAGATCTCAAATGAAGAATCAAATGAACACACACTCCAGTGGGGTTTCCATGAGCAAGCATGATCCATAGACATCAGAGAAGGGAGACATAAAAATCTCTAAGTTAGTGTCCAGACAGGTACTTTAAAAGCATTCTGGGGTTCCAGGGTTGTTTCAAGCATTCCAGGGTTATTTCAGAGGAGGCACAGTTGGTCTTATGAAGGTCTAACAGACACTGTGGAAGGTGGGAGTTCCCGAGACCTGGTCCTGGCACGGTCTCCATCCAGCTGTGTGGCTTGGGTGGATAGCTTAACCCTTCTGGGCTTAGCTTTCTCATCTGTAGTATCAGGGGTTGGATTAAACCCTTTACAGTCCGACCAATGCCATCAGTGTCATCACTGGATGGCTGTTCTCAGTGTGCTCAGAACAATGATAAAAATCTTCAAGGAAAAGTAAAATGCTGTTCAGAATGCTCCCTTAAGGCCTCTGACAAGTTTTGGAAGTATATTGGAGAGATATTTTTTGTTGTTGTTCTAAATTGTTTGCTTCTTCTGGTTTGTTGTTTTAATGTTTCGATTCTTGAGAGGAAACCCTCCATCTGTTCAGGAAGTCCAGCGTCCAGAACAACTCCTTCCCTCTCAGAGTTCTGCACAACTAATATATTACTGTCTTTGGTTTTGCATATGATCCAGTTAGTGTTTGTTCTTTCATATGCTGTCAGCGTGACCCATCTCTGGCTCACACCGTATACCCAGTGTGGTTTCAGAGACTTGAGACCTAACATATGAGTCACGGAAAGGGGGTGACTTGGGAGAGTTCAGAGCGCGGAAGGGGAGACCAGATTCCAGAATGGCAACGTACGGCTGTTATATTTAATCCTTGCGCCATTGCTGGGGAGACAGCATTGTCCCGGCTTTTAGAAGAGGAACCTGAGGCAGGAGATGCGAAGGGACCCACTAGCGTCCCAGACCTTTTATGTAGCCAAGGTGGGTTCGGATCCGGGGGTCGTGATTGTGAATCCGTCTCCTTTCCTCCAGGCAGTGCTCTAAGTCCTTGAAACAGGTCCACACAGCATGATACCAGATCACTCACACTTTAGAACCTGCAAGAAATCTAGTTGAACCTTCCTGTTTACTTAGTTACTATCCTGGTCCTCTGGCCAGCGTGTCATTTTATTTCATTTCACGGTCCAGAACACGATCCGCTGCAGATGAGGGGCAGTCTGTACTCTCGGTGTGAGTGTTGCAGAATGGGCACTTAAACCTCATCCACCCTTTTTTCATCTTACAAAGAGGAACAGCGCCAAGGAGTCAAGTCAGAAGTCAATGCGAAGTGCAGGGCCCTTTCAGTCCAGCTCCCCCTCTGGTTTCTCCTGCTCAAGGTGATGCAGTGGATTTTTCACCTACATTTAATGACCTCAGCACAGACTTTTCTAACGTCTGAATCTCAGCCCTGTGTGGTTGTCAGACATCGGGCAGAAGAAAGCATGATGTGATGCAGAGAAGTCCAAGCCCTTACCACCCAAATATTTCAATTCATTGCCCAGGGAGTGACACTCCGAAATTAATGTTAAGACTTTGAAATGCTTGCTTGTGTACCATGGATGGGGGGATAAAAGAGCTCCTCTCTCACTAGGAACCAGGCCTCAGAGCACCATTAAAAATAGACCGAATTGCCCTTTCTAGATAATTTTTCTCCCACACACAAAAAATGAAAGTCCATTTGAGGGAGGTGGCTGACCCATTGAAGAAAACGGAGGCTGCTTCGATCTCTGGGGCTGTCCCACTGCTTCTCATGTCTCTGCTTTGCTTCCTGCATGTCCAACCCACAACAGGAGGCCGACCCCAGACATTAGTGTCATCAGCCTCCAGTCCCTACTATTTGCTAAGCATGGAAACACACTGCCACGAATACTGGAGAAAGGAGTTTAGCCAGGCCCAAGTTTTGTTCTGGGTTGAGTCTCTGATTTGCTCTGAGCACTTGAGAAAGATCTTACTTTTATATTGTTTTTATTTTTAATATTATTTGTGCTTTCCCTGGTTTTTGCTGAATCAACCTCACCAAGAGGACATCTGTTTTATTATTACTTCAAAGGACCAACTATGGTATTGTTCATTTTCTATTTCATTAGTTTGTCCTCTTTTATTTTTAGTTTGCATTATTTTTTTGAAGTCTAGTTGATTTACAATGTTGTGTTAATTTCTGCTGTACAGCAAAGTGATCCAGTTATACATATATACATTCTTTTTCATATTCTTTTCCATTATGGTTTATCACAGGATTTTGAATATAGTTCCCTGTGCTATACAGTAGGACCTTGTTGTTATCTTCCTGTTTATTATTTGTTCTGGTTTTTTGGATTTACTATGGGTGTGCTTTTTTTCCAATTTAAGTTAGCTGCTTAGCTCAATTCTTTCCTGCCTTTCTTCTTTTCTAGTATAAATGTTTAAAGCTATAGATTTCCTTCTGTGTGCTTTTTTTTGACTACACCCAGCAAGTTTTGAAATGCAGGTTTTAGTTATTATTCCATTCTCGGTATTTTTTTTTTTTTTTTTTTTTTTTTCCGTTCCCGGCCTCCTCTCCCGTTGCGGAGCACAGGCTCCGGACGCGCAGACTCAGCGGCCATGGCTCACGGGCCCAGCCGCTCTGCGGCATGTGGGATCTTCCCGGACCAGGGCACGATCCCGTGTCCCCTGCATCGGCAGGCGGACTCTCAACCAGTGCGCCACCAGGGAAGCCCCATTCTCGGTATTTTTAATCTCCATTATTTCCTCTTTGACCCATGATTTATTTAGATATTTGTTTAAAATTTTTAAACATACATTGATTTTTTATCTTTTAATTGTTGACTTCTAATTTAACCTTGGAGTGGTAAGAGAATGTGGTCTGAATGGTACTGATTCTTTTTTTTTTTATAATTATTTGGCTTTATTTTCTAAGTATTCTATTGACCTTTTTATTCTCACCATTTACTTTTTAAGTCTCTCTTTTTTTTTATTTTATTTTTGGCTGTGTTGGGTCTTTGTTGCTGCTCGCAGGCTTTCTCTAGTTGAGGAGAGCAGGGGCTACTCTTCATTGTGGTGTGCGGGCCTCTCATTGCAGTGGCTTCTCGTTGCGGAGCATGGGCTGTAGGCGCGCGGGCTTCAGTAGTTGTGGTGCGCAGGCTTCAGTAGTTGCAGCACACAGGCTCAGTAGTTGTGGCACACGGGCTCTAGAGTGCAGGCTCAGTAGTTGTTGTGCATAGGCTTAGTTGCTCCACAGCATGTGGGATCTTCCCGGACCAGGGATCGAACCGGTGTCGCCTGCATTGGCTGGTGGATTCTTATCCACTGTACCACCAGGGAAGTCCCTGATACTGATTCTTTGAATTTTATTGGAACTTTCTTTTTGGCCTTCTAGGAGGTCAATTTTTATAAACATTCCATACATGCTGGAGAAGAGTGTGCAGTCTTTAGCTATTGGGTGTAGGGTTTTATA